ACCCAACTTCTTAACTAAACTGGACCTCAAAGCGACCTATTTTTTAACAATCTGTTACAGTTGTACCCTTTTCAACCCATTACATTCTTCATCTCAGTTCTCAGTTATATATGAACAGCAAAACAATGAACTGACAATCAAACACGAACCAAACACACACCACAACATGTCTCTTAGACAGTTACAATAACGATAGAGAAAGCTCACACTGTTAACTGACACGATTGGTTGTTTAGATTTGTGACATATTAAACCCTGGAAGTCGGAGTTTGTGTTTTTGTCATCAGCGAACTTCAGCATCAAGGCAGAGTTGCTCGTCTGTTGCATTTTACCTGCTTATTTGGCTCTTCTAGCACATAAAAACACCACGTGGACATGTTGGCAAGGTAAAAACTTCATTTTTCAATACATTCATGTTTGGCATTAAATTACTGTCGTCTGCTTTCTGAACTTACACCAGACTTTGGGCAAACGTATTGTTCTTATTCCACACTCGAGGCACTGAATTTGCAAATTCCCAAAAAGAAAGCACAAAAAAAACAGCACTTAAAAACAATTTTATCCTGCCTCTGACTAGAAGAAGAATAAATAAATAGCTGGAGCAACCAAGTCTTTTTTTAAATAACAGATATTGTCCATAATGACTCCACTGGAAGACTCACCTGCTTTGTCTGAACTTGGCCACACTGGTACATAAGAACTGTCTTTTGTTTGGAGCTTTAGCGTCCCTTTAGGAAGCTGTCTATCAAACGGTCTCCTCTGTCAGAAAGCCAGTAACCCGCCATGGCTGCCAGCGCCCCCATGAACACAGACGTATAGACCATGTCTCCCTTTGCTGCGAGCGTGGCCAGAGCACAAAGCACCACCCCAAAGAACATCTGCTGCAGCACCTCCACCTCCTCGTCCTGGATGTCCTCGAACAGGCCTTTCTCCTGGACGACTGCGGCGAGAGGAGAAAAGAAGAGTCAGCTCATGTGTTTGTTTAAACGTGCATCGTCAGAATTAGAAGCCACTCACTCGGCTGCTGCTTCTTCACACAAACTCTGTCCTTGCGGATGAATCCTTCGGCGCAGTCACAGCGGAAAGAGCCTTCGGTGTTGGCGCAAATCTCATCCAGACCGTGACAGGCAAGTATGCGGTCACTGCATTCATCTACATCTGAGCAAGACAAAGGCATTGCAATAAATCTCACTGAACGCTCGTAGGTATCGGCTGCAAAACATCCCCTTATTTTTGTAATTACCCAAACACTTGGACCCTGTCAGTCGGTAGCCTGAGGCACATTTCCTGCAGCGAGCCGGTCCACTACCCATGCAGCCCGCACAGGCCGCATCACAACCTGAGAACAGAGGGGACATGCATTGTTCCTCATGTACAGACAGACTTCTCTTCAAGACTCAAGCTACGATGCTAACATGCCCATATGGTGCTTTCTATATGTCATATTCCCAAAGCACTGACCTCTGCACTCAAAGGATCCTTCTGTGTTAAAGCAGTAACTGTTTGGGAGGCAGCGACCCAGCTCGGTGCCACACTCATCAACATCTAAAACACATCCAAACACATACATTTACTGCTTTATGTCAGGCACATATATATCCATATGATGCTTCCCAGACTCTTCCATGAAGCTCTGCATACAGTACCTACACAGGTGTTTCCATGTAGCGTCCATCCAGCTCTGCATTCCTCACACTGGTCACTTTCCGGTCCTGAACACTTCCTGCAGGCATCTGGACAGCTGTGCACCTGAACAGCCAACGCGCTCCACAGCCAAACAGCCAGCAGCAGCAGCAGGCTACCGTGAAGCCTCTTCACTCCCATCTGGCCGGAAGATAAAGCTGTCTGTCTCCTCCAAAAGATCATGCCTTTGTTAAATGATGCTTGGAAGTGGGGATTATTCAGAACTGAGCACAGACTGCTGGCAAAATAAGTACACAAGGGACGAGGAAAAAAGCTTTACCAGTGGGACTATCTAAAAACTTTGTTTAGTAAATCTGTTAAAGAGGCCCTCCGGTAGAAAACTGCTTCTTTTTTATTCTTTCGACATGTTTATAGGATGTTTTTTAAACGCTGGAAGACACTTCATGAGTGAGGTAAGTGGTCAACGTCAGGTTTGATCATTTCCACCTTGAAACTGCAGTTTACTGATGACAGTCACAAAAGCAGGGATTCAGACTTCCAGGGTTTAAACCTGAAGAACTAATCCTTCCACCTGGCAACGTGGGGCCTTCTCTGTCATTAGTCCCTACGGTGGCCGACGATGGAGGAAAATGACGTGCAAACGAGCTGCATATACACGACCGCGTTGCATAAACAGAACCGAGCTGCACATCCAGTCACACAACAGAACAGGCCTCTAGGGGCAGTAGTGAGCTCTTCACCTGAGAGGCAGACAAAGGTGCTCGAGACAAGTTAGCTGAGGGAAACGCTGCATGAAAAGGTGTGTATTCTCTGGTCTCCATGGATAAACATAAATAACAGAGAGAACACAGGGTGATGGTAGTAAATCACCACCTCAGCACCCATAGAGTCACAGTGACTGGAAAGCTAAAGACTTAAGAACTGCCCCGAGAGGCCCGGGGCACTTCTGTTGTGTGACTGGATGTGCAGCGTTTTCTTTTTGTACATGCACGTCATTTAATCTTCTTTAGAAACCATTTTTTTCCCGCTCACACATCTGATTCACAAGTTGCCGTAGTGTAGGGTAGAGTAGTTTTACAGTGTTTGAGCAGAGCTGCAGGTGAGCTGCTGTGCTCGAGCTGCAGTGAGCGATAGAGGGGTGGGTGGAGAGAGAGGCAAGACAATGCAGGGAGCAGCTGTGTCGAGATACAACAGAGACACTCTAGGAAAGGAAAGGGTTTTCTTATTCTCTGTCTCTTAGATAGCTGACATCTAGCTGCTGCAACGTGCAAATGTTCCCGGTTAGAGATCAATAAAGGTTGTTTCTAAACTTTGATTCATAGAGATGGGTTTTTAGAAGTTTAGTGAATGAGGAGTTGACAAACAGCTGAAGTTTTTGTTCATCAAGTATAGGTTTACAAAGACTAGTTTGACTGTAGAAGGAGGCCATTCTGTCACTTCATTTGCATATTTCTTTTTCATTCTCTTATACAATCAATCAAGTGCCGTGCCAATCAGCGCAGGCGATCGTTTCCCTCCATCTGATCCGATCTTTTGCTTTCTGAATTGCCACTGTTGCCCGTTCCATGTCAGTCCGTCTGTCATGTTCATTCTCCGTCTGCCTCGTCCTCTCTTCCCATTAATGTGTCCGGTTGTGTTAACATATTCCAGGGTCTATTTCCTTATGATGTGTCCAAAAAAACTGCTGCTTGCCGTTTCCTGGGTTTGTTCAATATAATTTGTGTTTAGTAATTTTAAAACATCTTCATTGCTTATTCTGTCCATATGAGATACATGTAGCATGACATAAGTTGTATAGAAGAGCTCATGATATATAATCATGTATAATCAAGCAATGTAAATTAAAGCTTGTTCTTCCTGATTGTTCAAGTTCTCGGATACAATATTTTTTTCCACTCCTCAGCTCTGGAAAACTGCAGTCGTAGCTTTCAGCCTCATAACATGATTATAACAGATACACATCAGAGTATTTTTAAATACAATATGACACAAGGGCTTTTATTACCCTTCTCACTTTAACGTTGGTAGATTCTTGAAACAATAGTTAACATTTGGGAAATTTCTCACTTTCTCGCTGCGTGGCTCATGAGAATCACTCGTATGTCTGTATCCTTAACATCACAACACAGCCAGCAGCCAGTTAACTCAGTATTAAGACTGGAAATGCAGAAAGAGCTCGTCTGGCGGTCTCTGCAGGTAACAAAACCCATCTACCAGCACCAGCTTCTCATTTGTTTGCACCCAGTCTAGAAATATTCCTGCACAACTGCCTTGCAAAACCACAACTTGCTATTTTTACAATAAATGTTTGTATCATTCAAATAAACGACTCATAAGGCACAACTCGGTGAGCATTCAAGTGAGGTGAAGCTAACCAGCAGCTGGTTGTAGCTTCATGTTTTACAGATCGACATGAAACGGGTTTCATCTTTCAGCAAAAAAAAGGAAGAACAAGAACATTTCTCAATCTGTCAAATTATTCCCTTTAAAGCACTTATAGGTGTAGACTGAGATCCTCAGATCTACATGATTATAGACGACTTCACCTTATTTCAAGTCAAGTCATAGTTATTTATATGGCACATTAAAAACAAGAGCTGTTTGTTCCAGCTTCAGTTTAGGCTAATTAATAAGTAAAACAGCTCTAATTGGGGTTTTTGTGTTTGTTTTTTTGCTTCTTTTTTTTTAAGTGCCATGTCTTGTGAAATTAGACTATGATATTCATTTTATTCTGCTTTTACTTGAAGTATGCATGTATTTATTTATTCTATCTATTAGCTGTATTGTTCCTGGTTGTGTCTGCTTGTGTTGGCTGCAGAAAAATTTGCCACGCCTGGGGCAATAAAGCTAATCTTGATCTTGAGCCAAAGTGCTTTGCAGTAGAAAAATACCATTGATGTAATCTACATATTAAAGTTAAGACCCTCTATTTCAGATGACAGGTATATAATTTTATTATTTATCTCACAGCAACAACTGATGCAGAATATATAATTAAAATTAGCTCATTAAAATGCTGCCTAATATTATAATAGAGGCCTTCTTTCATTCTGAATACCTCTGAAGCACATTTTTACAACATTACTTGTACCTTTGAGCTGACTTCCACCAGTAACACAGAACTTTTTCATTATGGCCAAGAGTCTGTCAGCAGTTCCTGGTGCAGACCTCCAACATGTGAGCCACTTTCTGAGGGTTCGAGTTTCACACTGAAACACCAACTCCAAGCAAAACTGACCCCACAGCAGTCAACAAGCACCAAAACGGACCTGACCATGAAGCGTTTGTTTTATTACCTCCGTGCTGCTCGACCGTGACCTGAACCGCGTCCTCCTGTGAAGTTTAAACGCGCTGAATTCAGCCGAGACGCACTTGACACATTCGCAGGTGTTTGATTTCAGCCTGGAACGTCCCGAGCGGGCGGAGGCGCGTGTTAACCTGTGAGCACCGCCCTTCCGGGATGAAGTCGTACACTCAACAAGCGCCTCGGTGCGTCTTTAAACTGACATCACGTTGCACCAATAGGAGCCGCCGTCTTTCACAGCCAATCACAAGCCGACAACCGCGGCACATTTATTTATAGCCGGATGAGGATGAGTTGATATAATTAGTCTGCTGGAGGGTGAGAATAAATAACATATTAATCCATTCATTGATAATAATATATTTTAGGTTTTTAATATAAATCCAATGAAAGGACCAAAACAAACAATGAATCCGTCATAATCTGAGTTGTGAAAGCCGGATGCAGTTTATTATTTGAAACCACAGGCCTCCATTGTTGTCAGACTCACATCAATGAGCCACAGTGTTTTTCCTTCATTACAATGAACACAGTCACTGCGTTTTATTGTTTCCTGCTGCAGTAAATATTCACGACAGTGGCTGGAGATAGTCCAAAACAAAGTCCTCTTTTAGTATTGGGGGCTAATAATTGCAACGCCCAGCTGCTTCGGGAAAATATTTTACATATTATAAGCAAACAAACAATTTTTTTTTTTTTTTTGAAAATGTGTCAGCTTCACAGTCTCAGATGAACGTGTTCTTCATGAGCACAGAGCAACTATAATGTTTGTCATGACTCCAAGACGTTGTCTCTACGTTTATATCCACTCCAAGATATTCCACAGTGATGCTTTGTGCTGGGGTGGTTAGCCTTGCAGGTAGAAGATCCTCGGTTTAGTACGCCCGGCATCTTTCTGCGTGGAGCTTCCATGTTCTCCCCCATGCAGCGTGGGTCCAGAACATGCTGGTGACCTGTCCAGGGTGTCCCTTGCCTTTGTCCTGAGTCGGCTGGGATAGACTCCAGCCCCCCCCCCCCCCAGTGAGGATTAAGTGGTGTATAGATAATGGATGCTTTGTGCTGGTCTGGTCCCTCTTTAGTCCTTAGTACAGAGTTCCTCCATCAGAGGTGTCCCACTATCACCTCGTCCACATCCTTTGACCTGACGTCCTCTCAGCTGGCACCGCAGTTAGTTCAGCCAGGAGAGACGGAGTCTGGGAGGGGAGCTGGAACAGAGGCAGGCCCTGAAGAAGCTCTGGCAGACTCCTGTCACTGCTGTGAGTCTGTTTGGATGGTGAGTCAAATCTCACCAGAACAAAACGTTCACCGGCTCTGCCCAGCTGCTTGTCCGCTTGAATGAGGAACAGAGAGGCCGCGAACATGTCGTAGTACGGGGATTGTAGCTGTGGCGGGAGCCTGTCTTCCCCCTTCGTCTCGATGACAACTTTGCTCGAGCGGGTCCATTCCTCTGTTCTCTCCAAGGCTTTGCCATTCAGAATGAGTACAGCTCGGCTGCCCAGGCTGTTTATCTTCAGAAGCTGCGAGTGCAGCCAAGGCAGAGGCCCCAGATCACACTGCTCCTTCCTGCTCCACATGTCCACCGACACACTGAAGCCCTGGCTGCAGAGCAGGGACCAGAGCTGATGTACCGACTCTGAAACCCCATCGTCCACATCTGGGGGGCTCAGCAGCACCACATGACCCTTTCTGCCAACTGTAGAGAGGCAAAACAAGGGACTGATGTCAAAATTGTCTTGAACCATCAGGACTTAAATTTTTTTAGAAAAAGTGGACAAAACTCACGTTTCACAAATCCTCCATGGCGCCAGCTCCACACCCATTCTGCAAAAGCCAGAGAGTAACATGTAAATACACCTGAGGGCACATCGAGGTTCACCACAAGGATTGTCGGCTCCACAAATAATTGATTCCTCACACTGTACGAGGCAAATGTGACCATGAGGACATGCATATATAATGAACAATTTCTACAGTAAACAAGATTTGGTCTTTGAGTGGAATGAAAGGAGCCTTTGTGAGGAGTGCCCGAGGAAGTGGATAATGCATATTTTATCATGCATGAATTGTTCACAGATTGCACGGCAGAGAGATCAGATGCTGTGTTTTCCACGTGCTGTAGGTGTTTGTGCTTCTATTATTATATCTGACACAGTTCATGCAGAGAAAGAAAAAAAAAACTTACTCTTGACAAAGTGATGAAGGAAATAACACATGAGCATAGTCAAGCAAACCAGCAGCAGAACACCGGCAACCAGGAGACTCCAGCGCCCCCTGCTAGCTGCAAGTAGCACAAAACAAAATCCCCTTCAGAAAAAGCGTACAAGAAAAATGCATCACATAACAACCAGCATCGGCTTCTGTGACCGTAACATGTTTCACACTTACTGTCTTTAGGACAGCGCGGACCCAGCTCGTGTCCCATTCCTTTTATTTTCACCTGCATAAACGAATAAATGGAATTGTTCAGCTTCAGAAACTAAATGTGTGACTAGATATACATGAGAGGAGGAGGGTTATGAATACTTCACCTTCACACATGGGACACGCTGTAGGTTGACGTTTTCAAACACTCCTGCTTTCACCTAGGAGACACGATCATGAATGTTATTACTTTACCACTTACAATAGTGTTAGCTTAACAAAAAGAAAAGTTTTCTTTAATTGTCATGTGCGACTAATGAGCATGCTGTGCAACCAGAAGCTGCTGCAATCTACAAAACAGTTTTTCCAAAGGTACCAGTTATCTCAGGCTCAACTTTAGAAGAATGTGTGAAAAATAATGTGCAGGATGTCTGCAATATTTCAATATCCTATAATGGTTCTGGCATAAAAAACACAGGTATTTTATTCATTGCAAACATTCAATAGCTTCAGTTAGGAGCTGGAACAAGCTGATATAGTCGTGTCAGACATTGTGGACAAAGAGGATTTTTCTGAACTGAAAGTAGTTTTTTGTTCAATTTTAGTGTTGAAATAAAAAAACTAACTAAAAAAAAAGAAGAAGAAGACTGGAAAACAGAGGCACCAGCGTTTAAGTCATTCTTACCCAGAGTCCTTCAATATTCTGCCTCCATGTGCCATTTGCCAGCTGTTGTCTGACTTCATTTTTCTGCCTGCAGCTGTTTCCCTCGTAACAGAGCTGCACTTCACCCTCCAGCCTGCAGGGGGCAGACAGGTTCCACAACAGCATTGTGCCAAAGCCTGTCTTTTCTCGGGCCATCACTGACACAAACACATTTTCCCACATGTTCTTCTGGAAGACGTGTTGAAAATCTGGAACAGACACAAAGCGAATCGTAACATCTTCACATTAGAGTTAAACCAAAACCGTCACCGGTGCACCGGACAGAGAGATAACGATGCCAATTAAACAAAAGAGATTAAAAATGGTCACCTGTTCGCTTGAAGGGGCACTGCACAGAGCGAGCAGACCTCTGGCCATCCTCATTCCACGCCTGCCGCACATTAAAACACATAAAGCAGTAAGTCAGATAAGCCCAGATAAGACACAGGGTATATATGTATGTATAAGTGATGGTACCTGGAGACACATGCAGGGAGCCACAGCCTGCAGAGGGATGGTCCTCCTGCTCCAGCTCTGTAAAGCAACACATCATAGCTTTAATGAGAGAAAGAACAACCAACACTAAGCCGAGGTGCTGTAGGAGCTTTTGTCTGCTGGAGGACTTTCATTTCATGTTTCTCCATCAGAGGTTTTACTACATTTACTGAACTACAAAGTGACCTCGTTACAGGTGCAGCTCTTACATGGACAGACTAATGAGCTGTTATGCAGATCTCTAGGATCTAGGAAATTTGGGTCTGTTTCCAACATCACAGGGGGCTGTTAGGAAACTTTTCCCGTTGGGTTTTCGTTCCTACCTGCATAAACCTTTGGGGCTCACGCTCTGTTGCTTGATCTATGTTGTACTGATTTGTATTTCATTTACTGCTCTTTGTGTATTGCAGTGCATTGGAGAATGTTATCTTTGAACAGTTGTATTGAAGGATGGAGGGTCGGTTCTGTGGTGCTCTCTTACTGACATTTTGAGTTTGTAATTTTCCCTTTAGATTTAATGTTATAACGATCAAAAAGGAGGCGTTTGTGAAGGAAAAATGACTTTGCTCTCCCTGTAGTTAAGCCTCTGAAGATGATATACACCTTTTATCCCTTAAACTTTTCCTGACCTCCCCAAATGGATATCGTATGACATCAGGCTATAAAACCTAAAATAGATATACCAGTCTACAAATCTTCTTCTATAGGACCTTGTACATGTGTTGTAGGAGGACAGCAAGGCACTCCCTGTGCTGAGGTGCCGAGCTATCTTCTTGTTTTCTCTTCCATCCATAAATCTAGATATGATTTCCCACTAAAGGTCTAAGCTACGAGAGAATCCTCAAAACTGATGCTGGCATTGCACCTGAAGTGCTGCTCCGACTGTCTGGTCTTCTGATATCAGTAAACCTTATTCCAACCTCTGAGTCTGGTGTGTCTCTCTGTGTTGGTTTCCTCATCTTCCTACTTCCTTACTTTGCAAGTCAGGATTTTACCGATTTATAACATACAATGCACTGCTATAGACAAAAGTCTGACATTTTGGAAGACGTACTGATCAGAACTATAAATGCAACCTGTGCGGTTTTATTCATTTCTATCCAATCTTTTGTTAGTTGTCAACACATGGCTTCTCTGTGACAGAACGGATGTCATCAAACAACCACACGATACTGGAGATGCTGACGGGCTGATGGAGAGCTGGGTCACACATGAGAAATCATAAGTCATTAATGAATCACACATTTGCGACTAATAGAGCTAATGAGGTTGTGAATTGAACACATCCATCCAGAGCATCTCGTGGCGGATTGTTTGTCCTACCCTGCTGTCTGAAACAACTTCTTAGATGACAAATGGTGGAGGTGTAGACATTCAGCTGCCTCACTACAACCTAAACTGACAACCAGCATCCACCCCGCCAACTGTTGTTGTCGTCTGTGGCGTCGAGTCATTTGAATAAAGCTGCACAGTCACCGGTCAAAGGAGTTTCTGTGTATTGGTCATGTTAGAATTAAGTATGTTTCGAGCTATTATGTATTCTGAATCTGTATTTTGCACTGAGCCTATGATTCTGTTTCATGTTTTCCTGCTGAGAACAGCATATGTCCTTGAAGATAATATGGCCGGTGATAACCGGTTCACACACTTGGAGGCAGCAGAAACTCTTCTTTTCTACTAGATACGATTGTTACTTTAGCTACACGCCGTACCAACAACATCCACACGTTGCTTACCAAAAATGTCAAGGACGTGGACAGAGCACAGAAGGATGCCTGTCCACGCCATTGGTAACTGGCCAATTAAATCTTATCTATGTTGGGGGCAGGCCCAGCCCAAGAAGATATCTGTAACCTGGAGCCGAACACACTCAGTTCAGCTGGACATGAGGTTCCTCTCTGTCTCTCTGAATTCCAGCGCTGCCTCACTTTACCTGTGACTGAAATAAATAAATTATACAACTGAGAACTGAAGATTTCTCCGGCTTGTTCTTGGTCTTCCAACTAAAGAATCGGGTCTAACAGTCACCAGGTCTGATCTTTGTCCTTTAAAGCCACACCTGACTCGAGAGTCAGCGGAAGGATTTGTCACCAGGTGAGCAGTTCAAAAACATGTTGTAAACAAGTGGCGGCATTTTACAATAGCAATGAGATTTTAAACTTGTCTGAGGAAGGAAGATCATTTGCATGCTGCGTTTATAGTTTGTTTAGTGTCATCAACATCTGATAACACCCACTTAGCTTAGCTTAGCATTAGGCCTTGAAACAGGGAGAAACAGCCTGACTTTCTCTGAAGACAACAACCTAGCAGATGATTTCAGGCCCTGGTAAACAAATCAGTTTTTGCACAGATTCAACTAACACAAGGTGATAATCTTACTGAGCTGCTGGTAGGTGGATTGTTACTCTGCACATATATGAAAACAGTTGTTGTCTTCTTTTACGCTAACTAAATCAGTTATGTTAGGATTAGGTCCGAAAATAAATACATGAAATGAAATAACATTCCAACAAGAGCTATTCTGCACAAATAGTACTTTCACTTTTGATATTTAAGTACACTGTGCTGATAACACACACAGCTTGTACTTTGGAACATTTTGACTTTTACTTGAAATGGTGGTTTTGCTTCTTTTAAAATAAAGAACACGAATACTGTAACAGCCATCAGATTTTGGCTCTGACTGCACTCACCTGACATTTCCCATCCTGCTCATACTGGATGCACATTGAAGGGAGGGTCTTATTCCTGTCCTCAAACTGCAGCTCCACCTGGTCCAGCTCCTGGTTTATGACACTGCTGACTGCAGGTACTGAAAACAGGAAAAGAAAACACTGTTTATTTCCCTACAGACAATAAAAATGCCAAATGGCACAAAGTAAACGGGTGCTGTGGTTTTTACCGAGGCACTTTGGCACACGTCTCCGCAGCTCCTGGGAGCAAACTGAAAGCAAACAGACATATGTGTCACTGCTGCCAGCATGCATGTAGAAGTGTGTTCAATATGAACTTTGCAGTACAAAACGAACCAACAAAAAGATTTACCTTTTTCTAGAGAGGGAGCAACAACTTTCTTCCTTTGACGTGTCTGTTTAAATGAATAAACATCCACTTGATTGCCGAAGTGAAACCCATCTGGCTTAGTGATCACCAAGGACACCTACAGACACATGCAGAGTTCATGAGACAAGGTTCCTGGAAGTGAGCGCACAATACATTCTTAATGACAGTCCAGGAATTCACAGTACCTTTGCCAGGTTTTGCTGAACGAGAGCTGTATGATTAACCGTAAACTCCACCTTCTTGCATGTGGGCATGGTTGCGGCTGTACTGTAACACAATGTCGCTGACGCTGTTGCAACACAGAAAGCACAGCAGAGATAAGGCTGAGAATGGACTGAAACAACAATAAAAGTCTATCAGAAGAGCACCTAAAACTCATCACCTCACTTCACCAATAAGACCAGTAGCTTTTCATATTTTATCCCATTTACTGCTGAATTTCCTCTGTTTTGTCCTAAACATAGCCCCTACATTTGAGTCCATTATCATGAGTCGACTGATGATTTCCAAAATGATCTATAGGTTACATTTTTTCTGTGCTTTTACCAGAATGATGACAAGGGAAAAGTACAGCGACCGTTTACACAAATGCACCAAACTGCCGGTGATTATACATTAATCCTCGCTACAGCTCAGCCAGTGTTTGTTCACTCATTCTTCCAGTAATGACATGTAATGGTGAGCAGCCCTCAACACGCTCCTCAACAGTTTTCTGTCAAAACTTGGACGGCTTTCAAATCAGCCTCCGCTTCTGTCAGAAGACAGAGGAGGAGCAGATGTGTTGTGGCTGCCATACAAGCAAGGTAGCAATTCTACACGTTGGTTTTTTTCACGTCACACTGAATTAAAGTGAAACTATGGATTGGATGGTGGACTTAACATACCTTTTGGACTCCCCGTCTCCTCCCTGTAATCCTCCTCATCGGACTCAGAGCTTCCTTCATCCTCTGAACCCTTATCCGGTTGGATGGAAAGCTCTGCGTCTATCTCCAGACATAATGTGCAGGTTTTTCTGTTCTTACAGCAGAGCTTGAAATACGGCTTTAGGGTCTGAACATGCACTGTGTTCTCTGCTGCCATGAGAAACATCTCATCCCTGACGGTGCAATCAGAGAGGCCCTTAAAGGAGGCAAAGATCGAGAGGGAAGATCATTTCACATCATACTGAATGAGTCTGGGACTATATAAAAACACTGTACATACAACAGTCCTGTAATAAGCTGGCTGGTGGCCACTGTCTACATCTGAGAACATTAAACTCAATCAGCAAAGAAGGAAATTAAAACGTCAAGGCAAGGAAATTAAAGGTGTAATCTTTCAACAAACGCTGTATGCGATGTAGGAAATATCTTCTTCAGTGTATCCAAGCTGTGTACTGTACCTGCGAGCAAATAACTTCAGGCCTGCCATGTTCAGAGGTCTCCAAAACGCAGGCTGACAAGTGTAGAGTCAATAAAATGAACCAGATAAGGCATCCAGGAAGAAACATTCTGCTTCAATGGCACCGTAGAAGTCCTACAGCATTTTTCTGCGCATATCTTTCGCCAGGAACAACATGAAGACCTTGTTATGCGAGTGCTCTGTCTTTCTCCTCATCATCTCTGGTTGAAGATTAACTGTTGACGTTATCTTGACATGTTATCTTGATTGGAAGCCAGGTGACTGTGAGGGCAGAGCTGTGGATGTCCGCTGGGTTTCACATTTGTTTGTGGCCTGGTTGAAGAAGAAAAAAATTAATGAGTTGAATACAAACTAGTGGCCCTGTGAGAGACTGGGGACCCGTCCAGGGTGTCCCCTGCCTTCACCCTGAGTCAGCTGGGATAGACTTCAGCCCTCCCACGACCCTAGTGAGGATTAATCGGTGATCCAACAGTTTCAAACTAACTTTGTTATTTGTCAAGTTAACAAATCCCTTAATAGGCCGGCGGCATTAGCTGATAACTTAGTTCTTTAATCGCAGTCAAGCATTAAACATGTAAACGACATAATATAATATACAAGTATGTCAATGTAACAAATGAAGTTGTACCAAGTTAAGCAAGTGATCTTATAGAAATACCATCTTGGTTACTTACTGCGTGTGTTTCCGCTGAATACTCCACTCCTTGACAAAGTCGCCCTCAAGTACATGATTCATGAGAAAGTTGCACCACACCGCACGTCACTGTCCTGACTCAGTAAATCCCTCCCTCCTTCACTCCTTCCCTCCCCTGCTCTCTCTCTCTCTCTGTTTGTCTCACATCAAATTAACACAATCTTCCTCCCCTGAAGTCCTCATTACAGCCCAGCCAACCACACGGGTCCAAGTCCACGGTTGCTTTTAAATCAAAACTAGGCTTCGTCTCTGGGTTCAAGCGTCTCCACACAGAGCCTTGTTTTAACTCTTCATAGCTGCTTTTGAGGGCAACAATTAGTTTCTTGTGATATGGATCGAGCAGAGATTCCTCCGCTCGCAGTTCTCCGTAAACTGCGCCTTGACAAACAAGTTTATCGCCTCCTCTCATAAGTGTGCCTGCACCTTTGACCCACACGAATAATGCAATGAACTGGATATCCTCACACGCCTCACACAGCAGCTCAACTGGTCTGACCGCATAATGTAAAAACACGAAACCACGTCGGCCTCCTGTCAAATATGTTCACACCGAGGTAAAAACACAACACTGTGTTCTTTGTGAAACGATGTGGCGGAGTCACGATGTTACATCACAGGTGGACAGGTTGTTTACTGAAGAGCCATTGTGTGGCACTGAAGTCTTTAAGGTTGTTTTTTTTTACTTTGCAAAGTTTTACACTCAAGATTAAGTTAAGATTCATCAACCAGTGAATAAGCAGCAAGTGAAGCAGAACCAGCACCACCTACTCAGTCCAGCTTTCCTGCATACCACCACCGTTCACTGAAGTTCTGGAACGTTTCATTTGTCTTTTCCGACATTGTGCCACCACCGGTAAAGAATCTGAATAGCTTTGTTTATCAGCAGATGTTTGTTCTTTTTAGTTCTCCGTGGCTGATTTTTAGAAGAAGAAGCTTTACTGTCATTGTACGGTAAATACAATGAAATTCCATTTGGCATCATGTTTGTAGGGCTGTAAGGTGGAGCGGTGGTTAGCACTGTTGCCTCGCAGCAGGAAGGTCGCCGGTTCGCGTCACGGGATCTTTCTGCGTGGAGTTTGCATGTTCTCCCTGTGCAGAGGGTTCTCCGGCTTCCTCCCACAGTCCAGAAACATGCTGAGGTTAATTAGTGATTGTAAATTGTCCGTGGGTGTGAATGTGAGTGTGCTTGGTTGTCTGTCTCTAAGTGTAGCCCTGTGATAGACTGGTTACCTGTCCAGGGTGTCCCCTGCCTTCACCCTGAGTCAGCTGGGATAGACTCCAGCCCCCCATGACCCTAGTGAGGATTAAGCGGTGTATAGATGATGGATGGATGATCTTTGTCGCAGCTAATATGGTCTAAGAAACATTTATAAATAATAAAATAAATACTCTATTAGAAGTGCCAAAGAGCATTTGTTAGGTAGTAGCGTGTGTGTGTGCGGTTGTGCGTGTGTGCGTGTGTGTGTGTGTGTGTGTGTTTTCTGCAGCAGTCTCTTCACAGCCACATTTAAACGCACATTTAAACACACACTTGACCTCTTGGTGTGCTAATGCAAACACTGGAGAAACATTCCACTGCTTTCACTTTCGGTCTTCGTCATAAAAAAACCAAATGTATGCAGGGTAACGTATTAGTTTGGACGCATTTATTACTAGAATGCAAAGTCCAGACTCTGGCGGTGCGCTTTAGGGCTCGACACCTGTAACAGTCATGTGCTGCTTGACCTTGAGTTGTGTGAGCTTTATACACTATACCTCAGAGCAGAGCATTATCACTGCAAAGTGTGTAGATGTGAGCGTGTCATTTGCTTTAAAACACACAATTTTAACCTTTCAACTGCATTCAAACAATAAATATATTCAGTTTAGTTCTCGTCATTGTTGCTTTTTTTAAAACTCAGCCTTCATTTATAGTGAAGCTAAGCAAGAAAATAAAGGACGGAGGCGCACAAATAAGAAACTTGGGTAAAAATAAAAATATTAACAGAAAATTAGTGAAATCATAAAAATGCTGGGAACTGTTAGAGCGTTTAAATTTAAAAACATAAATAGACAAAAGATGAGCTGGAGGTAACATGAGATAGATTTAAAAACCCACATTGCCTTCAGGATAAAAACGAGTCAGGCTTAGATTGTTTTGCACATTGCAGATGCAAAGTGGCTAAAGTGACTTTTTCGAGCTGAGTAAGGACAGCCGGCACTATTTGAGTGTGTTTGGTAAGAAATCACATTAAAAGATAGCAGTGAGATAACACAAGGGGGTAAAAAACACAGTAATAAATAAAAGGCCCAGCATCTATCATGTGTTACAGAGAGAGACGACCGCCCAAAGTGAGCATACAGCTCACATTAACGAGGATTATTATTACCACCAGTAGTAAATCTGAGTGTAGCGTGATGATCAGCGTCAAGGGGCTTAAAGGTTCAGACCATTACGGAAGATCAGTCGATGCCACGCAGTTCTGTTTTCTGAACAATTAATCAACTTCGTATGAGACAGCTGAAGATCTGGGATGTTCTTTATTTGTTTTCCATGAAGTTTAGGTATTTTCCTTCATTTTCTTTTTGCATGAAAGACTTTCAGATTCTTGGCTCCCAGTTAAAGTTGTGCAACAAAGAAATCATCCGGGCGTCTCTGCAGGGCAGACTCAGCAGACATGAGCCAGCAGTTCATTGTTATGGGAAACACAATACCGTAGTCAACAGCAGCGGCGCTACAAAAGAGAGACAAAAAGAAAAAAACAAGAAAAATGATGTCGCTTTGTGTGGTGGAGTAATAGCAGCGCTCTTACTTTCTTTGTGCCAAAAAAAATAAATTATGAAAATAGCAACACAAAGGATGTAAATGTACCTGGTGGCATCGATCTCCTGCTCCTTGATCTTCAGTTTTGTGAGGGAAACTTGCTGCACCTCCTTATAAGCTGCTGGCGTTAGAGCTGCACACAATCAAACATTAAAGCAAAGCCTGACTCTGAGTTCTGGCACTTTAAGGAACACAGCACAGAAAATGTGTCTCTTTAATGTGAGGTTTTTTTTTTCTACAGCTGGGTGCAAACATCAATGCAACTAATGGTGTACCTGGTGTTAAATCACACAAGCAAATGCAGGACACTGACACACTGAGCCTTTACACCCACCTAAAAGTCCCTCCGTGTCGGTGGCATTCGGCTTCTGTCTTATAACCGGCCAAAGGAATTCGTCGCCATTCTTATTGTGAATCAACAGGATCAGGCGCACGTCTCCAGCTGCAACATCGATCTCCTTGTCTCGCCGAATCACCACCATGCTGGAAAAAAAAAATGCAGCTTAACGTTCTGAAGACTCAAATGACTGCAGTCCTGCTCAGTTTGAAGACGTGAAAAGCTGAACACCTGAATACAATCATGAGACTGAAGAGTTTTTATCATTCAACATGATTAGAATCAGCAGCGCGGTGGTACTATTAGTGGGCAGGAGCTCTGCTGTAGCTGCAAATATCAATTTATGGTTGTTTAAAATAGGAAATTCATGACAAATTCTGCATGTCTGTGCCGTGTTTTTTGTACAAATCTGTGCCTTCGGTGCCCTGATTTGTGGCCTAATGTCACACCAGAGCCAAAAAAAGTCAGAAAACATGCTTTTGTGTCTTCGTGTCAAGAGTTAGACGAGAAGCGTGATGCCACTGTCATCTTGTGAAGTTCACTTTTTCACCTTCTTCCTGAGACACTGATACCACGCTCATGTCTTTATGTAGAGAACCTATAACCTAACACAAAGCTTGGTTTAGCTTCAGGAGAAGATGGCAGCGTTGTTCGGTTCAAGGGTAACAAAATGAGAACCTTTTCAACCCATTCATTAACATCTTGTCCAATTCATCAGCACTAAAACCTAAATGTAAAAACAACAAATTGATGTTTGTCGACTGTGAGGTCCAAGCTTATTTCTTTGTAAACCTCAGGTCCAGTATGTTTGTACGCTGCATCTGTTTTGACAACATAATGAATAATTGCATTTCTTACATCATCAAGCTGTTGCTGATGTGAGCTTCAGCCACACATCTGCAAACAGAGCCATCGTAGTGTAATTCCAGACCAATGCAATGCAAAGTCACCTTCCAACCGTGATGGGATCCTGTCCAGTGTGCTGTGTTACCGTCTGTCCCTCCCGCACAGTGACTCCTGTGGTGGTAACCTCAACATGCTGATCGGCAGTGAAGTGGATGACAATCTTTGTGAAGCCCCCGTTTGTGATTGAATCAAGCTCACCGTTCACTTGCAGCTCTAGTACAAAAGAGACCACATGCTGCTCAGCACCATGCCACAGACTGAGCGGATAAATGTGGAAACTATGACACATTGAGAGCAAAATAGAAGAATAAGTTGACTAAGCAGAATAAGAGGGAAGACAATGAGGAGGAACATTACTGACCCCTGCTGGGATGGTGGAGCAGCTTGAGGAGGGCAGCTCCCTTAATGTCGAAGCACAGCGGAGGAGACCGACTCTCAGTTTTAAGCAAAAATCTGTGCAAAAGAGGCGCTGAAGACATGGAGACACAGAGAGTTACACAGCAGATGGAAAGAAAACTCAGCTGAAAATCAACAGCTCGACACCATTTTACTAAACTACGGCTGTTTTGTAGCAGGTTTGATGTTCTCCAGTCTCAACTTTGAGCATTTGTGGATGAAATTATCTTAGCTTACAGATACTAAACACTGATGGAATTGTCCCAATGATGGTGCACGACTGCCTGAAAAAGTTGGAATAGGACTATATATGTCATTTAAATACTGACAGAGCATATGCTGTACATTTCCTTTGTATGTTGTTTGGTGTACCACAAATGACATTTATTCAATACTGTACCAGCGGTAGTAGCGGCAACAGGACTCGCACTAGTAGCATGTTGAGTAATTCGTTTTGGAAGTTCTGTAAATACATTTATACAAAGCCAGTTAGAAGTCACATACACTGATATCACAAAGCTTTGAGGGATATTTAAAGAACATGCATGTCCTGATACCCATCCCCAGCTTGCAAACAAAATACTAAATGCACGTTGTTTTAATTCTCAGCTGCCTTATCACCTTGAGAAATATATTTTATTTTAAAACATTTTTGTTTGTAAAATTTGTGCTTAATGCCTTTTTTGTGTCTATATTTAATTTTTTTCGGTGAAGGAGCATCTTATTTACTGGAACTTTTAATCATTGTCCAACAAACAAATTCTTTACTGCAATCTCGACAACTCATCTGAATGTTTTGACTGACAAATGCATAAAGTTAAAACAAATTAACATATAACTAATTAGCTTTCACAATGTGCGCTATGACATAGATGTAGGCAAGTTATAACTGTTTCTTCAAGTATTAGAAGGACAGATGTAGAGAACTGTCCAGTTTCTTATTACATGAATGTGGATGGTCAGTGCCAAAATTGCAGATGTAGAAGGACGGTTCACAACAAACACAAAAAAAGACATTTACTTGGTCTCCTGGTAGGTCTTACTGGAGCGTGCGCAGGAACTTTAAAAAAAACAAAACAGTAAAACGTAACAATTAACATCTCATTTTCCATAAGAATCTACAATTATTTAGCAGTGCCGGAAACAATCATCTTCAAATACTATATATTACACATTTGTAGTCACTGCAGTGCATGTCAGTATTAAAACAAAGAAATAAAATTGCAAGACATTTATCTTGCAATTATTAGTAAAATACCCTATATAGTATAAGAGAATTTTATTTGAATTGTGGGAAGAAGAATGGAGCCTATAACCCTATTCAGGACTTCCATGTTGCCATACGTAGACGGTCTTTTGGGGTCCATTGGACCACAAGAAAGAACATGTGCAAAATATTCCCTGGTATTCATTATAGACTGAATACTATGTTCAATAAATTTTCTGATTAGTTGGCATATTTTTGGTTCCAAATGCATGACAAATGTCCCTCTTTANCCCTGTTGAGAGATAATGTTGAATAAGAGACATTAGATGCTGAACTATTGATTTTGCACTGTCTTTGTTTTATTTACATTTACTTAGCTTACCAGCAACAACTCTTGGGGGACTGTGAAGAACAGTAGGATGTTGATGACTATGATGGCTCCTCCTCAGTGGTTTTTCACCTTCTTTGGGCTTATGAAGCACATCTGAGTTTTCCCCTGGAGGCTTGGTGACCACCATGGATGTAAGTGGGGTCACAAAGCTATACTGCAGTGACAGCTCCAAAGCGTCTTTCTTCACCTTGTTTTTCTCAGGTCCCGATAACTGCAGCCTGTGCCACAAATTGTTATTTAAAAGTGTCAGTTGACAGTTATCTTTTAATACTAATTTTGTATTTTCAGGTAGCCTAGAAAACTCAACGACTCTTTGAATCATCAGGGGGGGAAATGATATTCCATCTGCTGCAAGATATTAAAAGATTATTTGTGAATTTGTGGCTCTTGTTGTTCATATCACCGGCCAGTTGCCATCTATGTTTTAAAATATAGGCACAACTTGGGAAATTAATTAGAAAATATATATATANATTGTATTGTTAACTCTTGCTACATGACCTAAGTAATATTTGCTTCATTGATGCATTAATTCAATATGAAATAATTACTTGTCCTTACTTGTGAAAATCAAATTAATCAGTTTAGTCAGTTAATAATTGGGTACCAAAGGCTTTCCTCCTTAGGTTATCACTACACTGTATGCAGGAACAAGTCGGATCAGTGACAGCTCCACTTCGCTGTGTACAGGATGTAAAGCGCTTGCTATGAGCAGAAATCACATGGCCCCTTCAGAGGCATCGCAACGTCAGTGTTTTGGTGGGTGAAACTTTTTTGGTGGCATGCACGGGACTGACAGCATATTGGACAGTCATGGTCATAATGTTTTGGCTCATCAAACATAGTCATATCAGAACAGTGCAGATGTGTGATCATGTCATACCTAATGAGATTGCGACGCCATGTTCTATATCTGAGTAGAAAGATAAACATGAAATTTAGATACATTCAAGAAATATTTATAATTTGTAAACAGTTTTGCAAAGTGTTCAGGAACAGCTTCTTTGCCTCAGCTGTCACACTGGTGAATCCAGCAACCCTCCCCCGTCCATGTTCACCCTGGACTTCATACTACATATGAACTGCACTGCATGTACCTCTCATTTTCATGCCATTAACTGTTTATTTCATACTGTGCACATACTGCATTTTTGCTCCATCTTATATAGATTGTTCATACTGTTTGCAGTGTTCATGCTGCTAATCCTGTGTATATACTGCGTGTATCTCATGGCATCAGTACTGTTTACACTTCATACAGTTTATGCTACCCATACTGTTTACACTGCTCATGCCACTATTTATCACTTCATCTCTATATTCATCTATTAGTGTGTTCATAGCACTCTGTCCATACTCTTAATTCTGTTTATACTGTAACATAGTGTACATACCACACTGTAAATAATGCATTTTACTGCTGCTTTTGCACTTCTGCTTTGTTACTAAACTGCATTTTGTTGTACTTGTACTCTGCGCATTGACAATAAAGTAGAACATAATCTAATCTAACTAAAAATCTCAAACAAAATAATCCAAAAGTTTGTTGTTGTTGCCTTCTTTTGCTTAGTTAACTTCATTGTAGTTCAGAAGAATGTAGAATTACAAACATCTGGCAGGGGTGGTGGAGAGATTTTATGTACTAGGTCAAGAATTCTGTCATGTTGCTGGTCAAGGATTTTACGTGCAGCATACAGCAGATTTAGAAGCTCTTTAAAGCTCCTCAAAGTCTCTTTTCATGTATGTTCTACAAACTTCCCAATGAAAAACTGAATGTTTTCACAGGTTCTTCTGAATGACACATAAAGCAACACATAATTGTCATAGCTCTCGGGCCAATGTGGACAAATCTAGCATACTCTTTATGAGGCATCAATTCCTTTGAATAAAATATGCAGTGCAGGTGTGTACTCATGTTATACCAATAGGTGGAACCAAGCCAATGCCAAAACCTGAGTAGGAAGGTAAACCAGAAACTTTGATAATTTAAGAAATACTTATCATTTGTTAATTAGTTTACAGTATGACAGGTGTAATGACAGGTGCTAAGATTATATACATTCATAATAATTTATAAAGAGAAAACAGTCATAGTTATATGCTGTAGGTTGCATGTAAAATACAGTATCTTTAGTCATACCTGGTAACGATATGTCTAATGAAAAGAGAAAGATAAAGGATGTTGTATTAGTGCTGAATTGTATTGTAAACTGTTGCTACATGACACAAGTAATAATGGCTTCATTCATGCATTAATTCAATCCCTAATAATTACTTATCAAACTTTTGATGTGAATTTGTTCATGGAAAGCAGAGCAGTCAAGAAGATATAATTGATTCAAAAACAGATAAGAAAGGCTTATAAAATCCTGCCAAAATCACATCTGTTCTGAAATACTGTGACACTGTTAGTGTTTATCTCAGTAAACAGCAAAATACAGTTTGTGCATGCATCACAACAGAGCAACTATGTGCCATATTTCATACCTGCTCGGGAAGAAACAACACCTCCTCTTGCTCTTCCTCCTCCTCCTGCGGCTAGAAAGCAAAAGATGACAAAATGGAGTCGTGATATAGTCATGACGTTACCCTGAGATAATCATGACCCGTGTGTTTTAGAGAGGGACACTCTGAGCACTCCTTTTTGCTGATCCATAGAGGCTTTGGTTACAAATTAAACATTCAACTGACTGCATGAATTAANACCCCAAAAGTTCTGGATAGGGTTAATGTGTCTATGAATTGTAACTCTGATTTGTAGCTTGTTGTCATCTTCCACACCTTCAGCTCCTCACCTTCAGCCACATTTTTGTTTAGCGCCTGCATTCAAAATTAGACATCATGAAAACAGGTGAGAGCTTTATCAAAACTGCGTCCATCTCATCCTCACTGGTAAACAAGAACCTGAGATACTTCTTCACTTGGTTAAGCAGCTAGTTTCCAACTTTAAGGGACAATTTCAGAAGGCTCTGATGAACAACAGCTCAGGACTAACAGCATATTGGGCAGGTGCAGTGATTATGTTTTGGCTCATCAAACATAGTCATATCAGAACAGTGCAGATGTGTGCTCATGTCATACCCATTGGAAAAGTCAAGTCTTCAAATTTCGCACCTGAGTAAGAAGGTAAACATACTGTTTATAGCATTCATACTGCTAATCCTGTATACATGTATATCTATGTATCTCATAGCTATTACACTGTTACTGCCATAGTGTAAATAATGCACTTTACTGCTGCTTTTGCACTTCTGCTTTGTTACTAAACTGCATTTTGTTCTACTTGTACTCTGTGCAACGACAATAAAGTAGAACATAATCTAATCTAATCCAAAATCTCATCCAAAATAATCCCACAACATACAGCAGATTGAGAGGCTCTGGGTTGATCCTCAAAGTCTCTTTTCCTCTATATTCTATAAACTCTCTTTTGATTTGCATTCATTCATGGCAAGCAGAGCAGTCTAGAAGATATAATATTTGACTCAAAAACAAATGAGAAAGGTTTATACAATATAGCAGAAATCATGTTCTGTTCACATGTTGTTATGGTCATAATGTTTTGGCTCATCAGACACAGTCATATATCAGAACAGTGCAGATGTGTGATCATGTCATACCGACTGGGGCGTAGTCGTCATACCCCATGTCTGAGAAGAAAGGTAAACGTGACATTTAGGTACATTTAAGAAATACTTAAAATTTGTAAACAACAGTATTGCAGGCCAAAGGTTGATGATCAACTTCTTTGTTGTATCATCAGATCTGCGGCCGTATGTTTTGGACACTCGGGTGAAGAGAGGAGCAGAGCTGTCAACTGATCACCAACTGGTGGAGAGTTGGATCTGATGGCGGGGAAGGCTGTCGGACAGACCTGGTAAACCCAAATGCGTAGTGAGGGTGAACTGGGAACGTCTGGCGGAGGCCCCTGTCCGTGGGGTTTTCAATTTCCACCTCCAGACTGGGACTGGGTCTGCCCCGGGGTCTCCTCCTAGGTGGACGTGTTCGGAAGACCTCCAGAGGAAGCCTCTCCAGGAGGCATCCAAATCAGATGTCCATATCACATCAACTGGCTCCCTGGCCCCGAGCTCCCTCTGGATGTCCGAGCTCCTCACCCTATCTCTAAGGCTGAACCCAGCCACCCTGGGGAGGAAGCTCATTTCAGCTGCTTGTATCCGCGATTTTGTTCTTTCGGTCACAACCCAAAGCTCGTGACCACGGGTGAGGGTTGGGACGTATGGACATCTGATTCGGACGCCTCCGCAGAGGCTTCCTTTGGAGGTCTTCCGAACACGTCCACCTCGGAGGAGACCCTGGGCAGTCCCAGAACCCGCTGGAGGGATTATATCTCTATATTTTTCTATAATATAGCAGAAATCACATTCTGTTCACATGTTGTTACAATTGGCAATGCTAAGATTGTATAAGTTTGTAATAATTTATAAAGAGAAAA